TTTTTTGCCACTGTTTTTGTTTTTATTAGCAAAAAAAAAAAAAAAAATTTATTGATAAAATAAATGCACAAAGACCATTGATATATACACTACAACAAAATATACCTTTGGCGACCAAAACTGGTGACTAAAAAAATTTAGTCGCCAAAAATTGTGGAATTGACGACCAAAAATTTTTTTAGTCAGCAAAAGTACAATATTTAGTTACTAATTTTTTTTAGTCGGGATATATTGATTATTGGCGATTAAAAAAAATTTAGTCGCTGAAAATACCAGAATTGGCGACAAAAAAATTATTTTGGTCGCCGTATACTGAGTTTTTTCTACTAAAACCATTTAGTTGCCGAATGTAAAATAAAAAATTATTTTTTTATCTTTGGCAACCAAAAATTTGGTCGCCAAATATATATTTTCAGCGACAAATTTTGTCGCCAAATAGTTAATTTTAGCTACTAAAATTATTTAGTCACTGGATGAAAAAAAAAAATTACTTTTTATCTTTGGCGACTAAAAATTTTTTTTTTGATCAGCAAAGAAAGAATATTATTGATAAATAGATAGAAAAGAAGGACTTGACTGAATTGCATCATAGCTCAAAAATACATCCCAACTAGGTTGACACCTATAATTGAGCCCAATCATATGCAAGCCAAGACTGATACAAAGGTTGATGAGACCTCAACCAAATCTGGAAATGAAAAAAAAAACAACAGAGGACTACATCCTGCTGGAAACTACAATTTATGGCCCTTCAATCCATCCAAACAGTACATGAAATCATGGATTGTGTAATTAGGCAAATGACTAGAAAACTTCACCCATGTGGCCACTTTGATCTTGATACTATCCACAATATTTCCCCAAACAGGAACTTTAGAGTTAAAAACCATGTTGTTTCTTGCAATCCATAAGCTCCAAACCACAGCCAATGGAATTACCTCCCAGATGAGTTTACCCAGGTTTTTGTACTTTTGACCATACCACCATAAAAGCAAGTCTTGTAAGGAACTAGGGGAAACCCATTGGGAACCCCACCAACAAATAATTTCAGCCCAAACCTTCCAAGCAAAATTACAATGCAAGAGCAAATGCAAAGCAGATTCGTTATCAATACCGCAGAATGCACAGTGATTGATTGCGGGGATAATGAGCCTGCGAGCAAGGAGATCCGAAGAGGCGATTCGATTCCACCAAACAAGCCAACCAAAAGCTTTAATTTTGGGAGGGGCTGCTGATTTCCACATCTTCATAATCGGGAAGCTTGAACTGAATGTTTTCCAAAAATAATGCAATTGCTCTAGATCCATACCTTTCCATAGTTGAGATACTTTTCCACACTGCAGATGAAAATCTGAAGCTTGAACCATTTGGCAACCAACAATCTTCGTTCACATTGTTTTTGGCACAAAGAACTTTCCTCCAGAAGGAACTTTTTTCGGTGGCGAATCTCCACCACCATTTGCATAGGAGAGTATCATTGCCTTCCTTAGTCTTTCTGAAGCCCAAACCTCCAAAGTGTTTGCTAACAGAGCATGCCTCCCAGTTGAGTAGATGCAATTTCCTTTTGACATCACTATCCCCCCATAAAAAGGATCTCTGATATTTATCAATTAAGTTTGCCACTTGGGTAGGGATTTTGAAAAGGGACATATAATAGATTGGAAGTGAAGAAAGTACAGATTTAATCAAAGTGATTCGCCCTCCAAGAGAAAGATACCTCTTCTTCCATGAGGCTAGTCTTTTCTTCACTTTGTTTATGATAGGCTCCCAAGTAGACAGTCTTTTTGGGTTGGCCCCTAGAGGCATTCCAAGATAATTGATTGGTAACGAACTCACCCTGCAGTTGAAGAATTCGGCTACTTGAGAGGTGAAGTCCCTGTTAACCCCAACTCCACAAATTACAGACTTTTGGTAATTAATCTTCAGTCCGGAAATTAACTCGAAGCAACTGAGAATTCTTTTCAGATTTATTATCTCATCCCAATCTGGATTGCAGAACATAAGAGTGTCATCTGCGAATTGCAGATGTGAAAGGTTCAACCCCGAGCCACCGATATCCACTCCCTTGATAAGATTGAGATTTTTGGCTCTTTGGATGAGAATATTTAGCCCTTCAACCACAAGATTAAAGAGAAAGGGGGAGAGAGGGTCACCTTGCCTTAAGCCTCTCTGAGGAGGAAATTCTTGAGAAGGGGATCCATTCACCAATACAGAAATATGAGGGGAAGAAACACATTCCTTAACCCAAGAGATCCACTTTTCACCAAAACCGAAATTTTGAAGAATATGAAAAAGAAAGTTCCAATTGACACTATCAAAAGCCTTCTGAAAATCCAATTTGAGAAGAAGCCCTCCTGAAGAATTGCGCTTCCACAAATCAACAACTTCATTGGCAATGAGAATACCATGCAATATTTGCCTCCCTTTTACAAAAGCTGATTGAGTTTCATCTATCAGTTTTGGCAAAATAGATTTCAATCTACTTGATAAGACCATGGCTAGAACCTTATAAATACAGCCTAACAAACTGATGGGTCTGTAATCAGATAAAGAAGATGGGTTTGGAATTTTTGGAATCAGGGTTAAGAAGGTAGAATTCAGGCCTTTCTTGATCCTGCTGTTAAGATGGAATTCATTGAAAGAGAGACAAAGATCTGTTTTTATGAAGGCCCAGCATTTTTTGATGAATTTCATATTGAAGCCATCAGGACCAGGAGCCTTATTTCCTTCACATTGATTTATTGCATCCAGAATCTCAGTTTCAGAAAAAGGTTGTTCTAGCAAATAAGCATCCAAATCAGAAAGTGAGCGCTGAAAAGGCTCTGAAAATGTGGGTCTTGAAGGCCATTTTTCGGAGAAAAAATTCTGAAAATGAGACCTAACTGCTCTTTTTATTTGCTCCGGATCTTCTAAGTATGTTCCGTTGATGAATAGATTGCCAATTAAATTTTTCCTCTGCCTTGTGCTTGCAATCATATGGAAATATTTGGTGTTTTTATCTCCATTCTTGAACCACACTTGCCTTGATTTTTGCAACCAAATGCTCTCAATCAGCCTTGAAGTTTTCCAGAAATCGAATTTCAGCTTCCTCTTGTTTGTTGACTCCTCCTCAGATAGAGAACGGGGCTCTTGAAGGAGATCCAGCGTGTGTAATTGATTACCAATGGAAATTAATTTTTCATTCTGATCACCAAACTCCTCTATATTCCATTGTTTGAGAGCTGATTTCACTTCCTTGAGCTTCATGAAAATTCTGTGCCCAGCCCAGCCAAGGTGCACACTCTGATTCCATGCACCTTTGACAACATTTAGGAATTTAGGATGGGAGGTCCAGGCATTGAGGAACCTGAACGGCTTTGGACCCCAATCTCTATTATCCACCATGAGGAGAATTGGACAATGATCGGATAGTAATCGTTGAAGACCCCATTGTTTAAAATTGAATCTGTCCAGCCATTGTGAGTGAAGGAGAAACCTATCTAATCTGCTCCATCTGTTAGCTTCTTGATTATTTGACCAAGTGAAAGATCTTCCTTGCAGGGGAAGGTCTCTAAGCTCCAGATTGGCCACCATGTCACTGAATTGTTTCATACTAGCAGAGATTGTAAGACAGCCTTTTCTTTCCCCAATTCTAATAATTTCATTAAAGTCTCCCCCAATACACCATGGTAAATCATAACTAACTCTGAGGCTTAATAATTCATCCCAGAGAATTTTCCTTGCCCTGGCTTCATTAGGAGCATAAATATTAATCAAAATACAATCAAAGTCCGGAGAGATCGTACCTTTTAGAAGTATGAAATTCGGTCTCTGAATGCATTCAGAAACTGAAAAAACTGATTTATCCCAGACGCTAATAATACCGCCCGAAGATCCCTCAGCCTTCACTGCTGTAAAACCCGGATCATTGTGGGGCCAAATAGAGTGGATGAGTTGATTTGTGATTGTTGCTACCTTTGTTTCTCGAAGGAGCAGAAAGTCGACTTTATGCTGAGAGATAAGATTTTTAACTCCTCTTCTTTTCTCCCTTTTTCCTAAGCCCCTTATATTCCAAGAGATAATCTTCATGGAAAACAATATTAAAAATCCATGGATAGGCCGAATGGGTAGAGAGTTAGTTCCTCTCACCTTCTGTTTCATTATGCTGAAGCTCATTTTGGTTATGGAGCTCTTTAAGCTTACTAACGACCTCATCATTTTCTTCATTACTTTTCAGGCCAAGGAGCTTCCCAATTTCCCACACTGCCTGGGCTTCGTTAAGGATAATGCGATTTCGATTAGCAATGGCCTCTGAAGAAATTGATAATGAAATTGCTGCTGCCGCTGATCGGAATGATGCAGCTTTTCCGCCCTTTTTCCTGCCCCCTCTTCTGATGAACTTATTAGCTGATACATTACTAAGCACGTGCTGCAGAAATTTCCTTTTACTCTTTCTTTTGGATAGGCCCACTAGCGGTTTAGAGGTTCCAACAACTGAATTAATCCATTGGTTATCAGATGCTCTGGGAGCTGGTTCGAGAGAATCAGATTCGGAAAGAAATGAGTCTGGGACGATTGGCAGAGAGGAATTCACAATAGGATCTGGATGAGATGGAATGGGAGGATGGGGGGAAGGCGACTAAAAATTTGGTTGCCAAAAATTTATTTTCAACGACTAAAATTATTTTGGTCGCCAAAGAACTAAAATATTTAGAGGGAAATATTTCAAATTTTGAAAGAATTAATGAAATTGATTAACATTTGCCAACAAAAAAACCAATTTGGTCGCCAAATGTGTGAAAGTTTTAAACAAAACAGACGGTTCTCTGTTTAGACAAAACAGATTCTCTCTCTCTCTCTCTCTCTCTAACCCAGAGAAATCAGAAGGAGAATACTTGTTCAAGATAATGGTGATTGGGGACTCAGCAATGGGAAAATCGAACTTGCTCTCGCGATTTGCAAGAGACGAGTTCGATTGGCACTCAAAAGCCACAGTGGGAGTAGAGTTTTAGACCCAGGTGATGGAGCTTGATGGCAAGGAGATCAGAGCCCAGGTCTGGGACACTGCTGGCCAAGAGCGCTTCCGCACTGTCACCTTCGCCTACTACAAAGGTGCTGTTGGTGCTCTTATCATCTATGATATTACTCGCCGGACTACTTTCGATAGCATCAAGCGGTGGCTCGATGAACTCAAGAGTAAGTCGATTATATTTTAATCGATCTATTTATTAGTTGTTCGGTTTTGTGGGTTTGATTGCTTGTTATTGAAGTTGTTGTTGTGAATCTGAATTTGTGTTTGAATAACCATTTTGGGTGTTTTAATAATTTTGAAATTGAAAGCCCAATATGCTTTTTTCCTTTGGGAGAGAAGTTCGATAATACCTCTGCTATGTTGACTTATGAGAGATCTTGGCAGAAGAAGGTGCCTCTAAATAAGACTCTTTTTGGCAATTATGAAGTGTTGTACATTAATTATCCAGGTAGCAATCTCAGATCTTTGAGTTTTTGTCTATGATATATGTTATGTGATAATGCTGTTGAGAGTCTGAAAAGTTAAGTAACAGGGCTTCCTTCTTCGCCGCCATTTGAGGGTTCCATGGGTAATGGTCCAAGCGGAAGTGCTGGAAGTCAGCAATTCCCTATTACTGCAGATATTGTTTACAAGGACCCGAATGTGAACTCTAAAACTATTTTCATCATTGCTTTATCTGCATTGGTAATCTTGGTGGTTTGCTGTGGAGCAATTTCTATCATCTTAAAATGTAGGATGGTTGGTAGACCATCAAATGCTGTTGGTCCTGTCTTTACACCAGCTGCTAATAAGAGACTTCGTAAGTTTGTGTGCTTATTCTTACTTGTTAGAAATGATACACATAATTGGATATAATTGCATCCATGTTCATAAAATGGTTTGGAACGTAGGCTAGTAATGCACATCGAGTCATTGGCTCAATGCTTGTATGTCTTCCTGCTTAGCTCTATAAGAGCCCATGTCTGACAAGGACCCGAAGATGAACTCTAAAACTATTTTCACCATTGCTTTATCTGCATTGGTAATCTTGGTGGTTTGCTGTGGAGCAATTTCTATCATCTTAAAATGTAGGAAGGTTGGTAGACCATCAAATGCTGTTGGTCCTGTCTTTACACCAGCTGCTAATAAGAGACTTCGTAAGATTGTGTGCTTGTTCTTACTTGTTAGAAATGATACACATAATTGGATATAATTGCATCCATGTTCATAAAATGGTTTGGAACGTAGGCTAGTAATGCACATCAAGTCATTGGCTCAATGCTTGTATGTCTTCCTGCTTAGCTCTATAAGAGCCCATGTCTATCTTCCTCATTTTTACTTCAATATTGCTTTTTTCCTTATTTTCTTTATAATGAGGACACATATCCAAGAATCATCCAAAAGTAGTTTCCACGAAAAAATTCTGTGGATTTTCTTTTTTTGTTGAAATACTTGTTCCCTCTTGTTAGAAAGATTCTACTCTAGTTTATTTATTGATTAACATGAATAGCGACGAGGTTTGATTGTTGTGGTGTGCACCAGAGTTGATTCATTCATAAAAGTTTCTACTTTTCTACCTCATATGTTCTGCGAACTTTGCTTCACTAGATTCTGATTGTTACTAGTTTTAATGAATTACAAATCTTAGTGAACCATTTTTCAGTCTTGCTCACAATCTTATATTTTCATAGTTTTTGAAAATGTGGGAGTCTAATTCCTTCTGTGAAAAAGGAGTTGTACGTCATTGAAATTGAGTGAATTATTCCTATACCTGTATGTTGTGTGCCCACATAAAAATCATTTTGTGACTTCATGTTACTCTTGTAATTGGCTCAATTGCATCTTGTAAATTGCTGAGTTGGAAAAGCATGTTATGTTGGATAACCATTCTGTTTGATGAGATGGATTATCAAGTCAAATAAAATGTATATATATGTATTTTTACTTATTGATAATCATTTCTATGACATTATATTATATAAGTAATAGTGTAATGAGTCCTTTATTTATTTATTTATTTATTTTCATTTTGTCGTACTGGATTGCCCCAAATTTAGCAATCCAACGACTGAATATTTACTCTATTTCTATTTCGTTTGTAGGGTTAGCAATTTGTTCTTGTTGATGACAAATTAACTTGTGTATAAAATTAGTTTAGAGCTACACTTGTACCTCAAATATCCTTAGAGCCCCAAGTCTCATGACTGTCATAAACCTGTTTAACTAGAAGTAATCAACTACCTTTGGCATGCTTGAATTGGAGCTGATGTAGAAACATTACAATGAGTTCTTTGTCTTTATAATATTGGCCATACCATATTTTATCTTTTTCTATATTATACATAGATTAAAATTCATGCATTACATTTAGTTTTCTATTTTGTAAAGCATAATGAACCTTGCAACATTATGGGTAACTTTTGTCCTTTTAACAAGTTCGAACTGTACAAATTTCTCAAGATCTAAGCACCCTATTAACACATGTTTACAATAATCAGTTTGCAAACAAACAAGACTTAATCACCACTAGCCACATGATGACTAAAATATGAATTGAATCAAATTATTCAGCTATTAGATACATATACCCAAAATAATTATAATGATCATTAGGATATAACATCGTCGGCTATTAATTAAATTATAATGATCGTAATGGCCATCTACAATTTGCAGTCCTCCTCAAAATGATTGGAGCTAGTTGCAAAGAAGGTAAGACACCAAAGACAAAATTCAATGTTCAATGTTCAATTTCATTTTACACAAGTCGTGACCCCTTAAAAAAGAAAGAAAAAAGAAGGAAGATTAATTGAGTTTGGTACCGACAAGTGTGAGGGGATAAAGACATTGACCCCAAATTCCTGTCTATAATGAAAACCTGTCTACAATTTTTTTTGGTTGGCAATGGCTGTTGACACCCAATTTTTGACTGTTCTCAAGACTTAGACGTCATCGCTCATGCACTCGATGATTGTGTGTTTCTGTTCATTTTGAGCGTCTGGAGTCTTCAGCGGAATGCCCTGTCTTTGAGTCTTTAATCATCGTTCTTTCTGTGCCTTGTTTTGGATCAAAACTTGGTTTTTGGACCTCTTAGTGACCTGTCAGCCACCACCCAAGGCTGTCGGCCATGGGATGCTTTTGTTGGCCATGGATGTAGCCGGTCGACTACCAGTGGTAACCAGTCAGCTATCAGTGGTGGCCGACGGCCACCAATGCCTTTTTCCAGATATTTATTGACAGTTGTGCCAGTTGTTGCACACTGAGCTGCATCTCCATACACGTGTATAGTGAGATGTTTCTAAGCACAATGGGTGTTTTTCTATAAATAGGGGTGTTCCTCCCCCATTTTTGAGGGGTTAGAAAATTTAGACCAAAAATATCTCTCTCTCTCTAGAATTTTCTCTCTCTTGATAGGGGGTGGTCCACACTTCTTGCTCCTTTGTTTGTTAAGCTTTTGTACCATTTTTCATCACTTCCAAATCAACTTTTTTGGGCCTTTTAACCACTGAATTTTAGCATTTTTTCAGTGGTAAAAACCTTGTTTTGAAGTCCAAAATTGGAGGGGTTAGCTTCCCCTCCTTGTGCCTTGTTTGCATGCCTAGTTAGCCTCACATGTTAGCTTATTATTTTAGCTTTTTATGGCTCAAGTTCAGCATGTTTTAAGCTCTATTTTGACCTATTTTGGCTCTGTTTTGGGCTGGTTAGTTCAGTTGAGGCTTGTTTTGCATAGTTATAGTGTTAATTCCTTCATTAGCTTGGTGTTTTAAGGCATTAATCACCATTATTTTAAGTTGATAGCATATTTTAGTGTTGTTTTGTACTTCATGTCAGCATCTAAAATCTTTGCAATCTCCCTTAATTCTTCACTCTTTTGTTTGCTTTGAAAGTGGTTTCAAACCACTTGTTTGCCTAAGTGTGAAATGGAGGTGCTACACCTAATGGTTTAATCCCTTAGGGGGTTCATTACCAACAGTGTAATGCCTCTTTTATGCCCAAAGCACCTTGTGGTTTGAGCCATCTTTCCATTAGACGACTCTCACTAATGGACTTAATGGATTAAAGGATGAATTGGTAATTAAAATGAGTAAACCAATTGGACAAGTAAACGAAGCAAGATAAGCATCTTTTGTGTTGCATTGCATGTGTTCAAATCGGACGTTAATTTGAACACGAGAAAAATGAGACATTTCATACTCAAAAGTGATGAAATGTGTCATTTTCCTTGGTCTCCATTGCCCTTGATCATGCATGATAGGGTGGTGGTTGTTTTGGTCTTGTTTGTGCATTTATAACTTGTACAAACTTGGTTCTTTGGCCATCATGCATGAAAATTACTTGATTGATGGTTTGAGGGCCAAGAGTTTCACTCATTGGAGCTTATTTGATGATAAATAGTGTAAACATTACAAACAAACCTATGAATACACTGTTTTGCTCTGCCTGCTCTCTGTTACAACAACAAGAGGAGTTCATGTCATCAGTGGCCGACCGGCCACCACTAGCGACCGACTGGCCACTAGTGGTAGCTGACCGACCACCATTGGTAGCCGACAGGCCCCCTGTCGGCCACCAATGAAATTTGCACAATGTGTTCCTGAGGTAGAGCAGACGTATTCTGGAAGTTGGCAAAATTTTTGGTGTTCAAATGTGCAAACAGAGGCTCGCAGTAGCAAAACGGTGGCTTTCAGGTGGAGAAACCGAGCATGCACGTATCCCTTGTTTCTCGAGGCCGTTTAGTTAACTTGCCTAGTTAATTAGTTGTAGCCGATGCTTGCAAATGTTGTAAATATTTAAGTAGATTAGTTGATTAATTTATGTTGTAATTAATTAGTTAACTTGCCTAGTTAATTAGTTAGTTAAGTGTTGTAATATTTAATTAGCTTAGAATAGTTAGTTAAATATTGTGTTGTAATAATTAGATTAGCTTAGCTTAGCTTAGTGTAGCTTAGCCTATTCATTTGGACCCTCCTTCGTGAGGGCGTAATGTTGTAATAAGTGTGTGTGCGTGTGTGTATGTCTTCCAACCCCACGTCTTTCTCCTTTTTATTTAATCGCTTTTAATGGTTAGATTAGGGACATTTTCAATTAACATATCTTATGCTCGCATGTTTGCATCCATTCATTTGTCTTGCATGCACCGAGGCTTGGCACATCATTCAAACTGTATTGCAATTTCAATACTTATTTGAATACGTTTTTAATAGCATGTTATCAGATCGATCCATATGCCATATTAATTGCCGAGCCTATTAAATTGCATTCTTTGTATGCGTTGCATTAGATATCTTGTATAGTTAGGATCATGCATCTTTCTAAGTAAGTTTTTGTTTTGGCTTAGAGTACTAGGTGAGTTTTACGCTTTAGCATACTTGCATGTATATGAGTGATTTCCATATCATCCATGCTTGCCATGAGGCTATGTGCTTAAATGCTAAACTGTATGAATACCTGTGGATGAAGACTTGTTGTTTAAATTGGAACAATTCAACGAATGTGCGTTTTAAGCTCACTTTGTTGAGTGAAAAATCATGTTTTAAGCCCACTATTTTTGGTGGCAAATACGCATCTTTTAAACCCCCTTGAGGTGGTAAATTCAAACTATTTTCGGAAACAAACATGAAATTGAATTGTTCCAATTCTTGCAATTTTAGTCTATACTTGCCTGTGCGCATCACATAGTAAAGTTAGTCTAATAATTGGAATAAGGACACATAGTGTTTATAAAAAATCACATCACGATTAGTATAGGCTAATCTTTGATCGGGCGAGCGGGGGTGCTCAATTCATGACCTTTCCCCTTCGTACCCAAGTTTCTGAGCCGAGGCAACTTTGGTGATGACGGACACCTGGCCTTCAGCACGAGTCAGGATTTCCTA